AACCTGACGTTTAACGAGAAGTTATTGATTTAATTAAAATATACAGAATATTCTGTTGACAACATTTCTTATATAATGTATATATTATACAAATAATATTATGCACTGTTCACTAAACTTAGATGTAATATACATTTTGATTGTATAGCTAGCCATAACATAAGTCATGTGATAATAAATTAGTTTTTACTGTTTATTTAACTTAACTAATAAATAGGCATAATTTATATTAACTATTTTAGCAAAAAATTTCTAAATTATAAATTTACATTTAGAAACTTTACTTAAATGTAATTTAATAAATATTGATTTTATTGTGCTAGTAATAAAAATATTCAATATGTAAAAGTTATAAACATTTATTATTTTGTATATTGTGTTAAAAATTTATAATTTTTGTAATTTATAATTGACATTTTGTTAGATTATTTTTGTATTGTGAGTACAAATATATATCAAACTATAGTTTAAAATATGCATCAAATAATTGTTATAATTTACTATATTAGCAAATATTTGAAAAACAAGTTTAATTATATCAGATTTTAAATTTCAAATAAACTTGCAATTACTCGTGATATTAAAGTTATATACCAAAACATAATAAATCGATATTTATTAGAAATATTATATGTTTGTATGTAATTACAAAAACTAATAATTTGTTTATATTTTAACGATTTATATATATACTAACAATCATTGATTAGAGACAACAGGGAATTCAAAATACAAATAACACTTCATTTATCTTAATTAAGAAAAATGAAAGCAAAAATAGAAAGGAAATTAATATCGAAATAGAAATATTAAATAAAATACAATTTGGTCTAAATATTGATTCATTTATTTCCTATATAACAAAAATTTAAATATAAAAGTTTATCAAAAAATATATTATTAAATATTTCTATTTATTAATTCATTAACACACAATTTTATATTATAAATTAGAACTATTAATAATAATATAACAAATCTATTTTTTACTTAAATGATTTTTTAAATAAAATACAAATTTCTATTAAAATTATATTTTAGTTTAAAAATTAAATAAATTAAAACAAATACTTTTATTTAATATATTTCTTAATTTTAAAATTTAATAAATAATAAAAAATTTATTTAATTTAAAATTCTATTAAATATAAAGTAATAAATAAATAATAATAAATAACTTATTAAAACTATATTTTTGCATAATATAAAATAAGAAATATACTACATTTATTAATTTTAATTATATAAAATGTTTTAAAAAATAATAATACATTTTATAATTATATAATATATTATATTATATAAAATTCTAATAAAAATGTATTTTATCAAATATTTCAAATTACACGTTGAGTAATTTAAAATATTTAAAATTGATATAAATTTTATAATTTAATTACTTTATATAACATCAAATAAACTTTAATAAATAATGTTATTAAATTATTTTTAAAATTTTGAAAAATGGTGTTTAAAATTGAAATATAAATCTTAATCCTCACTCATATACCCCAAGATTTTTTCATTATATATCACACAATACTCAACTCTAGACTCAAAAAACTCTGTTTATAATATTTAGTTAATAAAATATAATATATTTATAAATTAAAAAACGTATATTTAATCTATTTATGTAAAATTATTAATATTTCATAATCACGAACTTCTGAAATGAGTACATATCTGAATTCTATATGTCCTTCAGTCCGCATTTTATTGAATTCAGATTTGCATTAAGCAACAAAAATAAGGTATAGGAGATCAGCATTAAAATTTAGATATCTTTTCGGGAACATAGAGAAAATGGCGGTCAAAGTACAAAAAAAAATTGAAAATAATTTTTAGAGTATAAATTTGAATAAAACATCAAAATTAAGATATAGTGGATTAGTTAAATTTTTTTACATCTTTAGGGACAATATATAAAACGGCGACCAAAACACAAAAATTTTAAATTTAATGATTAATTCTTAGATTTGAATAAAGCATCGAAAAGAAGTTATATAGAATTAGATACTAATTTTTATATCTTAAAGAAGATAGAAAAAAATGATTGAATTAATACTTTTTAAATTCAAGTTAAATTAAAAGTAAATATAATAATTTTTTTGAGTTATTTGACACCATATATGACTAAAGTTGAGTTTATTTTGTCGTACTGAGTCATTTGATTTTAACTTAATTTTTTAATTCGGAATTAAGAGTTCGTATAGAAATGCTTTCTAGCATTCTCAACTGGTTTATATATTTATTTTATAGTAAATAAGATTTAACATAAATTTGTATTTTTCTTTTAAAAAACATTTTTACTTCAAATTACTTAATATTTTTAAAAATATAAATTTGACAAAATGTAAATAAATATAATTTTTTATTTAAAGTTTTTAGTACTCAATTTTATACTACATTTTTACATTTAATATGATTTTAAGTTATATAAAATAAATATTTGATATTATTTCAAAAATATTAAATAATAAAGTAAAAGTTATATTAATAATTTATTTAAACTAAATAAATATAAATTTTTAAACAAATATATACTAGTAAAAGCTTACATTTTGATATAATAAACAATTTTATTTGAATATTATTTTATAAAGATATTACAATTAACTAATATACATTATTATTAAAAACTAATTATTTTTAGCAAACAATAATTATCGAATAAAGTATGTAAAAAATATTTTAAAATTTTAATAGTCATTATAAATTTATAAATAAAAAGATATATAAAGTAATTTTAAAATTTTAAGGCTCAATAAAATTTATATTATTGTATTTATATAAACTAAAAATAAAATTTATTTTGAAAATGTATTTATTTTTATTACTGATATATACCGTATGATAGAATGTTTACAGTGTATTATGTATTCAATACTTAGCTATTAGTAATTGTAATAAAGTTTAATAAGTTATTTCCTTTATTGTTATTATTAAACGTATTTGAAATCTATTCAAACAATTTTATCATTAAAACTCAATCACAATTAAATGAATCAATTTGGATGCGGACATCAGTTATTGCCTACAAAATGGGTCCAAACAACAAACCATTGCATAAATAAAAAATCAAAGACACAAATAAAAATAACTTTTGTCATGACTTTCATCTTTAACTTTTAGTTGTTGTAGTTTTTATAGCATTAGAAATAAAATGAAAAGTAATGTCAGACTACAAGAAAATTAAGAAAAATATAGAGAAAAACGATTTATGGCTTCAATTCATTTCCGATATCAACTAAAATGCTAACAATAATTGCATTTTACTTGTTTGTTGTATTTGTTTTTATTTTGTTTGCTATTTGAATGTACAATATTGGTTGGGTAGTTATATAGACAAACATAAAACTAGTATAAATAATATAAAAATTTATTAAAAATTTATACCTAAACCAGTGAAACATTTTTTTGGAGGTATGGTATCGTTTGATAGTAAACAGCAAATTGATTTTCAGGTAATATTGTACTGTAAATGCTATGTCATATGTATAAGAATATTGTGTATATAAATTACAGTTAGATATTTGTAGTATATTAGAGATTTTATTAATCATTTACATTATATCGAAAAACATTTAATACTGTATATCGTATTTAACATTGCATTACATTTTATTATTTATAGCAATAAGCTGTACATAATATACCGGTATAGTTATTAAATTATTAAATTTTGTTATTATAAAAAACTTTTTAATTAAAAAAAGGTTTACTTAAATGAACAATAAATATTTGATTATACAATTTTTTAAATAAATTTTATTTTAGTTTAAAGTTTATTTTGTGTTCAATTTCTTTTTATTGATCAGTATTACAGTATTATACGGCAATATATTTTATTTAATAGGCTTATTTCATATTTTAGGTATGTTTTAACTATTAATTACTTGTATATGATTTATAATATTTATATTTATATAAATGAACAAAAATAGAAATGTTTGAGTTTAAGATATCGAAACTGTTTGATCATAAATTTTATTTTTATTTTTTATTAAATTCACACTTAATATAATCTAATACTGAAATAAATGAATGAGTGAGTGAGTGAGTGAGTGATTGAGAAAGAGAGAGAGAGAGAGAGAGAGAGAGAGAGAGAGAGAGAGAGAGATTGAAAAGATTTTTGCTTTAAAAATAAGTCTTTACTTTTAAGATATAATCAGTTTTTAGGTGAGAAAATGAAACTATAATATTGATATTTTCACAGTAAATGTTTGAATCTATATATCAATTCATATATATAACTAAAGTAAAGATAATATTAATTCAAATACTTGATTATGTATACGAAGAATACAATATACTATATATTGAAAGAAACTATTTATCAATTGAAACAAAAACAAAATTGAATTTCATATGAGTCTATATAATGTAACTAAAGATTGTTTGCTGTATAAACTAAGCTAAATCACAATATAAAATATACACTTTATAGTTAAATATATCAATAAATTGTTTCAAAGTTTTGATATTTTTATATAAATTTAAGTTATTTATTTAGTTAACAATTTACAAAACTATATATATGTATACTAAGAATAAGTAAACTTAGATCAAAATTCAAATTACTGTAGTAAATAAAAATTAAATTATTATAAGTTTTATTAGTGCTGTATTAATATTACAAAAAATGATAATTTATATTAAATTTATACTGTATTAAACTTAGTACAGTATATGAAATTTTGTCTAAAAAGTATTTTAATATCATATAACAGATTTTTTAGTGTCATTATATACTAAAGACATGACACGAGAGATGTTTATAAAAGTTAAAAAACTAAATTTAATACAAAACTAAATAATATTTTTAATATAAATAATATACAATGATTTGAGTATCTCTTTAAACGTTTAAACTTTTATTTTCCAATGAAATATAAAACTGTAAACTACTTGACTTTACATACAATGTATTAATATTATTATCTGTCAATCAATTGGTCACACAATTCATATGACATATTGTTTAAGTGTTTATTCTATGAATGATTTCATAACCCTTTAGGAGATAAACACAGAAACCGTTACATAAAGTGATGTTATGTTTGGTTACTATTAGTGTGTAAAGTGTGGACCAATTGATTGACACATTGATTGACTATTTAGTTGTTAATTATAGTGACCACTGATTATGATATTATCATATGTTTGTCCAGTGATTGATGTCTTGCGATGTCGTTATTGAAATCCGCGCCAAATGAAGCCATCGAAGGGACGGTTAGTCCGAATGCCAGTACCGCCGGTGCGACCATTGCTTCGGCGAACAATCAAACGCTTTCTTCGTCTGTTGCCTTCAATACTATTACTTCTGTTTGTGGTTTCACTGATTTTTGTGACACTAATGCAAATCGCAGTCATTCATACACATCGACGCCTTCAACGAAACCAAAACACCGTCGGCAACACTGTTGGAGGCCAACAGTCGACAGTTGCGGCCAAAGCTATGTTATTAGCGGCCGTTATGGCCAACAATCAGTCGGTGCCACAACACTTGGCAGGAGTCATTCAGAGACAATCGACACCGACTGCGGTCACCCCTTCCATTGTGGCCACTAGTGGTCACCAAACGACACTCAACGGTGTGTTGAGTGTTAAGAAGACAGAGGTGTTGCGCATTGAGGCACTGCTGGACAAGAACTTACCGTCCATTGAGACCAACTCTCAAGTGCTCCAGAACTTTGTCAACTTAGGAAGGATCAGACAAATCATTCACCACTTTAGTGATGACCACAACTACAATACACCACTTGTGGTCAAACAGACTAACAACCAATCAATCAGTAATGTGTTAGATATGAACCAATTGCTCACAAATCAACTCTTATTTAGTGTTAACCACAACAACGGTGTCCACACCATCACTACTGGCGATGAGAGACAACATAACCAACGATTGGCTAATGAGTCTCATATTGTCGTCAATAGCTTTGGCGGCCAATTAGTTATTGATGGCAAACATAGCAATGAAAATGTATTGATTTCTTCACCATTAGTGACGACAACACATCCGTTTCAATCAAAATCCTTGTGCTCTGCAGTGCCTCCAAACTTAGGTATGTGTTTCTGACATCAATTTATTGGTTATTATTATTATTATTATTATTATTATTATTATTATTAGCAAAATATCATTATTTTATTTTTATTAAACATTCTGTTAATCTATTTTCATAAAAACCAATTATTTTTCCAATAATAAACCAGAAATATTTGACGACAAAATAATTTAGTTTTTTATTTTATAGTTTAAAAAATCATATTTAATTATTAGTATTATTTAAAAATATAATGTTAATTATGATGATATTAATTATTTTGAGTAACTTAATCTAGATAATTTATTAATAGATATAGTATAAGATAATTAATTTATAGTATATTAACTAAATATTTAATGAATAGTGTGTTGATATAGTAGTTATTTTTAAAAAAATTTTAAGCCACTAATACCAGTGATGGTACACTCGTTTCATTTACTTTAATATTCAATAGAGAGTAAAAATGCAAATTAATTCCTATTCAATGATTACTTGCAATCAATGTCTACACAGGGATGCACTCGACTGCTGCTTATCTATATATTCACATTTATATATATATACAGTTCATTCATATATAAATTTATATAAAGTAATATACATTAAATAACATACTGTAAGTTATAATACTATATAATAGTATAGTTAGTACTATTAAATACTGAATATTAGTAAATTATATAATAAGATTGAGTGAAAATTTTGCATACGTTAACTCTCTTAGTTGTATTTTTAGTAAATGTGCAGCAATTTGATTGATTTTACAAAACACAAACTTGATTTTTACACTACTATTATAAACATTAAACAAAACTAATTATTTTAAGATATTTTTTCCACTAAATTGTTTATACTGGTATGTCTAATAGTTTTAAAACATGACATACAATTTTCTAAAAATATATTTAACATTTCAAAATTATTTTCATATTTTTGCATTTTACTGTATTATATATTAAATTATAAAATACTTACAATATTCATAATTTTGTTTGTAAAATATGTAAAATTTTTGATTAATTATTTCAATTTTGACATATTTTAATAATTATTATATAACTATATATGATTTAAGTATATAAACTGTAATATTATAAAATATGATTAAGTTATTATTTGAGAGAATAATGTTGAAAATTACATGGAATTTGTGTTGGAATTTATTTTTGAATAATTATTTTCAATGAAAATATAGTGAAAACATATTTATAGAGAAAAAACTATTGACGAGTTGTTTATCACATAAACAAAATAGTTTGTCTTATATTAATATATAAACAGTTATCTCATTATTTTTATTTTCATAGTGTCTTTTGCAGGGCTTTTGTTTTACTACTTTTAACAGATTTAGCAAAATATTCAGTTAATAAATCATTGATTGAATATAAAATGTGATTTAAATTTATACTAATCATACGGTACTCATATTGCTTATAGTCTGAAAGTTATGAAAACTACTGGTACAGCGAAATACTGGCGCCTAAAATCCATATATCATTATATTTATATTTTATTCCGTATAAATATATCCGTTATTATCAATCAATCATTTTGTATATAATAGTCTTTTCTATCCAATAATCCATTGGTTGAAGAATTAAATTGAGATTTTTATGATATATTTATATTAATATATTAGACATAAGAAAATAGATAAAGACTTATAAATAAATACAAAAGGAGACTGTGTTTGACCAGAAAATTGATATCACATATAAATATTAGTATATATTAACGATGAGGTTATATAAGAGGCCATAACTGAGGAAATGATTTGCAAGAAATCAATTCATTATCGGCAGAAGCGGTCAAAGTTTGTGTTGTATTTGTAATCAATTTTAGTGTTCATTATTTTACTCATAATTCTTGTCTTTTTTGACCAATACTTGATCTCTCACTATATTTGTTTGTTTTTATAGATCGTATGGTACTGTATATACTATACATTATATGTTATATTTAGTAGTACTGTATAACGCATCTCAAGTCTCTCGTTTTACTGACAAAACAAATCTGAGGTTTGGCTCAATTCTGTATATATAAACAATGTTTGAATAGATAGTGAATCGATATTTTTACCCATTTGTTAGTCTATTTTACAAATACTGTTGTCTTACAATAGACTCTCTCTATTGGCAAACAATAGTTCTACTTATATATTATTACTGTATATACGGTATGTCTATTATTTATGTACACAAATGTTTGCTATTGTTATCGATACGTAATCATTGCAATAATATTAAAATTAGACTATTGTTATAATATATATATATATATACAGTATATTGGTTTTGTAAACTTTTTTGACAATATTGCGAGTTTACAATAATTCACAATATTTGTTGAATTATAATATCAAATATCATGACTTATCTGCTGACAAATGCTACCAACAAATGATATTTTTATTGAATACTCCATCAAATATAAACACATATAATAATTGATTTACTTTATAATCAATGATAAATTAAATTGCTTTTAGCTTAATTTCTGTGTCATAATCATTGCTTATGTTAACGCTTTTATTGCAGTATTTTTAGCAGTAGGTTATTATTTTAAGCAAAATATCAATAGTATTTACATAAATATTAAGCTATTAAGCAGTGATTTTGATTAAATACCAAATTTATCAAATATTTGAACTTAAAATTTAAATAAATAAATATATTTTCCATAGAAAACCATTTGTCAATAATAGTATTACTATTCATGATTTGCCCAATTTTTACGATACATAAGACTAATGACAGCAAATGTAATAGTGATTTGAAAAGATGTCAAATACTGATATTTATTTATACTAAAAATCTATTACTAAAATATATTTCTGTAAAGAAAACATCGATTTATTATATTTTCTATTTTCACTCTAAATGTGATTTAGTTTAAAAAAAATTATTTTTCTACCATATTTGGTATTGATTTATTTATTTGTATTTTCATGTAAATCACGTTTATCTTAATATATCTTCTAGCTATAAATTTAAAATATTAATGATTACAATTTAAATTACCAAATTTTTGTATGATTTTTATAAAAAAATAAATTATTGATTATCTACTAAATTATTTGTACAAAATTTAAATCTTTGTTTTTTGTTACTATTATTAGTAATGTATATTAAAATGTTAAGCTTATGGAAGTAAAAGTATATGTGATGTTTTAACAAACAAAAATATTTTGTTTTGTTTAACATGTCGTTCAAATAAAAGGCAATTGAGAAATATATATAAAAAAAGTAAAAACCATTGAAAAGATAAGACAACAAAAGCTAAAACATGACTCATGATTGTCGTTGACTGTCAATCACTATTGATTTGCTGTCAAATACAGTTAACATATAACTATCCCAACACTAAAAAAATCACATCACTGTCGGACACAATAAAGTTTTTTAATATAATCTATTTTACGATATAATATAAGCTAATTGCATAAAATATTAGTGTTAAGTCATGCATCAGTCAATTTTTATACAGTATATAAAAAATATTATTTGATTACATAAACACTTTATATGTGTGAAAATTTATTGTTTCTTAATATATTTTAATCGTTGTTTTTAATTTGTTAAATTTAGCATGATACATTATTAATATTTTAACCATATATTTTGATACAATTTTGACATTTTTATTTTTCTTAGATTATAAGTTTATCTTTTAAAAAATCAATTTGAAATGATGTCACCAAACAAACCAATTTTATTGACCATTTCATTAGCTATGACTATATTTCTATTGTTTGTATTGTTAGCCAATATTTTTATTGTGTAAATATAGTGTTTTTTTGAAATACAAAATGCTATTTCAAGTACAGTAATGTCGCGTTTAAGATAAACTCAATTATATCAATAGTATACTATAGATGTTATGTTCATTATGTTTATTCAATTATTTTCTATTAAATTATAGCTTTTTATTTATTTTTGGTATAAATTTTTAGTTTATATATTTGTTTTGTATTGTGATATATTATAATGCATATCATTTTATATTATTATTTGAGAAGACTATTGATTGTTTTATTCATTGATTATATGTTTTATGTCATTTATAATATGAGTTAATTGTTTATTTATTTTTAAATTATAAATTTTATTTTAAATTCATTCATATGACATATTATACTCTATATATTTACAAAATATGACATTTATTTGAAGTAATTGTAAGGATTTTTATAATAATATATGTTATAYAGTACTATATCTTTGATATTACATTTTAGTGTTTTTATTATCAATTATTATTGCTGTCATTTTGATACATTGATTAAAATGCAAATTAGAGTTTATATATTGTAATATAAATACAATATATTGATTATAATATAGATATAATAAAACTTTTTAACGTATAGTACTTTATACTGTAGAAAACGATATTTTGCCTTAATTTAGTTAAAATAATGAATAAAAATGGATATAAAACATGATAAACACATATCTTTATAAACATATATTGTTTATGGATATACTAAAAAATTGATCAGTTAATAGTAATAACTTATTAATAATAAGTTACGACTACTACTAATAATAAATAATGATTGTTATGTGATATGCTTTAATTATATAAATTATATATTATAATTTATGATTATTGTATGTTTATAAAGTTATATAATCTCATCAAACATCTACTTGTATTATTCATGTTGATTATACTTTCATATTTTTAGTTTAATCGTAATAGTATTTATAATGTTGCTTGATAATATATTATTAGTTATTAAACAAAAATCTTTTAAATAATTGCAGTCGTAATTTTGAAGTTATAAAAACTGTAACTTTTATTGAAATAATATATATTATAAAGTATTACAATAATCAATGAAAACAAAGTATAGTATTGTGTGTGTATATAGAGAGTGACTGTCCTAATGGTCAGTCAGTGTCCTATTTTTATACACATGTTTGGGTAAGTGGCCGCACAAGCGGCTACTTTGACATACTTTTATGTTAGGATTATAACCCTTTTAAATAAATCATAAAATCATTTTTAAA